CCTCGATCCCTTCCTCTCTCCCTCTTTCATTCACTCACTCCCTCCATCCATCTCTCCCTCACTCACCACCTCGATCCCTTCCTCTCTCCCTCTTTCATTCACTCACTCCCTCCATCCATCTCTCCCTCACTCACCACCTCGATCCCTTCCTCTCTCCCTCTTTCATTCACTCACTCCCTCCATCCATCTCTCCCTCACTCACCACCTCGATCCCTTCCTCTCTCCCTCTTTCATTCACTCACCACCTCGATCCCTCCCTCCCTCACTCACCACCTCGATCCCTCCCTCTCTCACTCACTTACCACCTCGACCCCCTCCCTCCCTCCCTCCCCACCTTCTCTCCCTCGTCCTCTGCCACCTCCTACCCCTCCTCCTCCTCCACCATCTTCTCCACCACCTTCTCCCCCTCCTCTACCTCCTCCACCTTCTCCCACTCTCCTCTACCTCCTCCACCTTCTCCCACCATCCTCTACCTCCTCCCTCTTTTATTTTCTCCCCCTCCTCTACCTCCTCTCTCCCCTATCTCCCCACTCCTCCTCTTCCACCACATTCTTCCCCTCCTCTACCTCCTCTGCCTTCTCCCACCATCCTCTATCTACTCCCTCTTCTACCTTCTCCCTCTCCTCTACCTCCTCCACCTCCTCCCACCATCCTATACCTCCTCCCTCTTCTACCTTTTCCCCCTCCTCTACCTCCTCTCTCCCCTATCTCCCCACTCTTCCTCCCCTCCACCACATTATCCCCATATCAGATAGATACCAGGGTACGTTCCGGCAGTACCCTGGGGGACATAGACCCTATGAGCCTTATAGTTATATATAACTTATAAGTTATACTTAGTCTATGATAGAGCTCAGTGGTCAAGGCTATCAGTTAACTTCCTCTAGCGTGTGCACCGCGATGCGAATAAGAACACATTTTCTAGCTGTTATCCGCACAGCCGCGGTGCGAACAGTCACTATGCGTTTTTCACAGTTCCTCAACAAAATCGCGTTAAAAATATGTCTAGAGAATTACCAATGCATAGTTAAAAAAACATAGCTACACATTACTAGGTTAATTAACTTTAACAGAGACGTATTCAGGGGTAGAAATTAACTTTTGAACAAGGGCGTCCCTTGCCCTCAAAAAGAGGGAGTCCATAGCAAAATGAGGGAGTCCGCAGTCTAGAGTTCAAAACTAAAGATATTAACAATAACGTGTGTGCTTATTTTGAAGATTCATGCGGTTGCACGTCTGCCAAATTGTCTTTGGACATTTGCTGAACGAATACAATTCCGCGAGGTCGTGCTCTGGAACGAACTAGTTACTATTAGTATAGCAGAATTTTCAGGGAGTCACATGGACTCCTGCATATATATGTCAAATTAGCCCGACCAGGCTGTGCGACCGATTGTCTATACCGAGGTCTTCTGACCCTAGCAAGACCGTTTCTTGGAGCTATAATGACGTCAAATCAGGGAGTCCGACAGAAAATCAGGGAGTATTTGACTCCGGACTTGCATCAATTTTGCACTCTGTACATATTTTTTGGGGGTTCGAATAGGCTGTAATTGTAAATGCTATAATCATGACAATTGTCATCATGACATGTTCATGAATCATGTTATTAATAATTAATAATATATTATAATCACGTTGATTATGAAATATGAATCTGATTCATTGATTATTATTGCCATATAATTAAATCATGACAATGCGAAATAAATATTACTAATAGTAATACTAGTATTACTAACCTTACAAACATCCACATCAATGACATTATCTCACGGACTCGTGGTCGATCAAATGGTTTCCACTTTTCTTTAAACTGATGATCTAGCCGTAACCGCCAACCTGCAGCTGGAACGCCATCGGAAGTAAATTCCGTAGAGGAAAGCCTCTCATTGTTATTACGGGTTCCAGACATTACCGGCGAAGAGGGATTGTAACCAAAGTGAAGTGGTATATTTCCGCAACAGCCTCAACAGGGTGAATCTCGACTGGGGTAGAGTAGAACAGCCAGGAAAATCGATTAATTTCGCATTTAAACAGAAATAACTAGGCCCTACCTCACAGTCACACGACTCACACCTATATAGATGCACAAAATAAACATGCAAAATGAGGTAGGTGTGCGTTTTCCACTATCCAAAGATCTACGTATAGAAGGAAAGGAGGCCGATTGGCTATGCACTTGTGATGTGACGGCGCCATTTTAGATCGAGTTTAGAAGCTTTCGCTGTGCGTGAGATTGGAAATTTTTAATTATAGAAAAACTCATATTGGTGTTTTGTTATGAAATTAATGATTATGCTATTATAGTATACTCTAGAGATAATTAAGTAGCAAACCTAGCTGTGTATGCGGTGCAGGAGTATCAACAGCTTACACATGTAAGCATGCGTTATAGATAAAAGTTTATTCACCATCCTCGCATTTTCTACGTAAACAACTATTCTTATTATTATCATTATTATCGTTATTTTTTATTATTATTATTATTATTACTAAATTCTTATTTTACATATCTCAACTGCAAATACATGCATCGAAAACGGTCTTTTCTGTGGAGAAAAGGTCTGATATATAAGCTGTAATGGTGCATGAGCGGTTAAAATAATAATTTTTTTCCAAGTAATAGAGTAAAATACAACGCTATATAACACAAGGGCAAAAATCAATACAATAACGACAGACCTTTCTGTAACAGTAAAACGATTAAGATATGCTACAGAACCATTCTACAGACATATGCACTCACACACGCGCGCTGACTCTCATACACCCCCCCCCCACACACACACACACAGAAACGCGCGCGCGCACGCACGCACAGGCGCGCACAACCACACACGCGCTCGCGCACGCACGCACGAACGCACAGGCGCACACGCACACACGCACACACGCACACAAACGCACGCACACAAACACGCACACAAATGCACGCACACAAACACACACTCAGCCTGCACGCACACAAACGCAAACACACAAACACGCACACAAACCGCACGCGCACAAATGCACGCACACAAACACGCACTCAAACGCACGCACACAAACGCACTCACACAAACATGCACACACTCGCACGCACACAAACGCACACACACATACACATACACACACACACGCACCACACAACACACACACACACACACACACACACACACCACACACACACACACACACACACACACACACACATACACGCGCGCGCGCGCGCGCGCGCGCACGCACACACGCACGCACGCACACACACATACACACACAATCAAATGAGATACGCGTTGTTATTCAAAGGTGTAATAATCACAGACAACGAATACTAAGTAGCAGCTAGCGCGCATAGTTTCAGACAGTGTAGCAGCTGCTTGACATTTTGTCTGAAATATACACGGTATTTTGTCTTCGTCGCAATAGCCGTGGAAAAATGAACATGATAAATACAACGTAATTGTCTAAAAAAAGACGATCAAATATAATGGGTGACTCGATCTTTGTTTCAAGTGATACCAGAAAATATTGTTCTATCTCGGGCAATATATTCTAGTATCGCCATCAAACTTATCGAATATCGTTATTAATAATTATTATTTCAGATAGAGTCACATGTTTCACACCAGCAACTAATAATAGAAGCTGATGTGTGCATGCGCTAGTGTGAGTGCACGCTGGCACACGATATCATGAAAACAGACTGCGAATTAGGTAAACGACCCAAGTATAACAAACTATAACACACACACACGCACGCACGCACGCACGCACGCACGCACGCACACACACACACACACGTGGCACGCGACTGCAGCTACGTGTACGGCGTATGTTCTGTGCATACGAAGATTTCATGCAATGAGCGTCTCCATGTTACGTAACTTCGTGATACTTGGCATTTCAGGTATGTGCATTGAATTAAATCGGCTTATCTCGTCTTTCTTTGATTTGTAGTATATACGTTGGATTCATAATGTTTAGTTTAGGTAGTTAATTATGGGGCGCCAAGTGTAGCATGGACTGCGATTATTGTTACGAAATCAATGATTTTGTAACGAAATCAAAGTCCTACAAGTGATTTCGTTACGAAATCAATACTTGTGAGTAGATTTCGTTACGCAAATCAGTACTGCGAGTGATTTTTACGAAATCAGCTTACTGCGAGCTGATTCGTTACGAAATCAGCTACTGCGAGTGACTTTCGTGTTACGAAATCAGCTACTGTGAGTGATTTCGTTACGAAATCAGCTACTGCGCAGTTCGTTCGTTCGAAATCATCCTACACTTTGCCGGCGCATCGGGCGCGCCAAGTGTCGCATGACTGATGTTCGTTACGAAATCACATGTGGGCGCAAGTGTAGATGGGGTACGTGCGTGTACCGCGTTACGTGGGTGTAGTCTGCTGTGTATGTGCGTGTACCCGCGTGCTTACTGCGTTGCACCGTGCGTGTACGTGGCGTGTATCTGCGATGATACCGCGTAGTACGTACGTGCACCCACATAAACCCGAGTATACACGCACGCTAAACCCGGGTATACTCGCACGTACACGGAGATATCCACGTGCACGCGGGTAACACTCAAGTCAACGCTGGGTACGGAGAACACGCACGTACACCGCACCGTACCATACACGCGGGTACACGCCGAGATACAGCGCCACGTTACACGCACGTGCACGCGGGCACACGCACGTACACGCACGTACACGCACGTACACGCACGTACACGCGGGTACACGCACGTACACGCACGTACACGCGGGTACACGCACGTACACGCACGCACACGCAGGTACACGGACGTACACGCAGGTACACGCACGTACACGCGGGTACACGCACGTGCACCCACGTAAACCCGGGTATACACGCACGTACACGGAGATACACGCACGTGCACGCGGGTACACGCACGTGCACGCGGGTACACGCACGTACACGCACGTACACGCACGTACACGCACGTGCACGCGGGTACACGCACGTACACGCACGTACACGCGGGTACACGCACGTACACGCGGGTACACGGAGATACACACACGTACACGCACGTACACGCGGGTACACGCACGTATCCCCATGCTACATTTGGCGCCCTATTGATTTCGTAACGAAATCACTCGCAGTAGCTGATTTCGTAACGAAATTACTTGCAGTAGCTGATTTCGTAACGAAATCACTCGCAGTAGCTGATTTCGTAACGAAATCACTCACAGTACTTGATTTCGTAACGAAATCACTTTGTAGACTTGATTTCGTTACGAAATCAATGATTTTGTAACGAAATCAAGTCATACGACACTTGGCGCGCCGGCGCGCCAAGTGTCGCATGATTTCGTAACGAAATCACTTGCAGTAGCTGATTTCGTAACGAAATCACTTGCAGTAGCTGATTTCGTAACGAAATCACTCGCAGTAGTTGATTTCGTAACGAAATCACTCGCAGTAGCTGATTTCGTAACGAAATCACTCGCAGTAGTTGATTTCGTAACGAAATCACCTTGTAGACTTGATTTCGTTACAAAATCATTGATTTCGTAACATAATCAGTCATGCTACACTTGGCGCCCCATAGTTAATTAATTACTGCGCTGCTTTATAGCAATGTATAAATTTACGTCTTTATTGGATAAACTTTGATACTCGAAATTAAGTTCTGCGCTATAGGTAAAATTTATGGACAATACTTTTGTCGTGTTTACTCCACACCGTCGCTGGCGAATCTGTGACTAGCGACGGATGGGCATAACAACGTAATGACTTAATTAGCAACCAACTAATCCGCCGCGTGTACGTCTTAGCATGAATCGTTCATTAATTACGCTGCATAATGAACGTAAACCAGTCATTAAGCAGCGCAGTGACGTTTCGTACCCACTCGTTGCCGTCAGACTAATGGGTGTTTGTTTCTAGTAGCATGGACCATCAACACAGCGAACGGTGTCCCAATGCTAAACGTGAAGATCGACGACCACATGCTGGTTGCTGTACGAGTTGCGACGGGTACGGTACGTGTTGTTACGGTTACGGTACGTGTTGCATTACGTGTTGCAACGGTTACGGTACGTGTTGTTACGGTTACGGTACGTGTTGCAACGGTTACGGTACGTGTTGCAGTACGTGTTGCAACGGTTACGGTACGTGTTGTTACGGTTACGGTACGTGTTGTTACGGTTGCAGTACGTGTTGCAACGGTTACGGTACGTGTTGTTACGGTCCTCTCATGTGTAGCAATTTAGGGCTAATATAGTTCGGCTTTAACCAATATAGTGAATCTGCGTCTACACGCACGCATGTAGCTTTGCCACTATATAGCAGATTGTTATTGTAGGAAAGAGGAAAACGAAAGGAAGAAAAATGTCAATCGAAAATGTTGCTGCCGCTAACAAAAGACGTGTGCAATATAGACGCACAAACAGACCTGCGCGTGTATAAAAGTCTATGTAAGATTAGCCGACGACACAGACTTCAATTATTTGGCGTATTGTGATTTGTAATAGGATGAGTTAATGCTGTAGCTCACCTGCGTTTGTATGAATAATTTTGATGGAGCTATAGTGGACTTTTCTTAGAGAAGAAATTTCTTGAGAAATCGGCCTGTGACCTTGTGCACTCGTACGGGTGCATCAAAGATTACTGCATGTTTACAAATCCTTGTAAATTATGTTTTCCGTATACGATATGACCATGTATCGTCTGCCGTTCTGCGTACACAGCGCATGCTCGGTGAAGAGAAGCTGAAGCGAGACTTGGCCGGCACCGATCAACAGCAGATTCTGAAGATACATAACAAGATGCGCGCGTCCGAGAAGTCATCGAGCATGGTGAAGCTGGTAGGTGCGCGACAGGCCGCCGGTCTTCCTAGCCACAACGACTATCTCCGCGTTTCAGTAATACGAAGTCTACCGCTCTCCATCGTGAGACGATAAGCAGGAGCCCGTTGTCAGTAACAACATTATCGTTTTCTCGTAGTTCTTCAAACGTTTTCTCGTAGCTGCGATTCGATTTCTGTCAACGCTATTCTCGTATAACATTAACATTAGTCGTATGTGCTATCTTAGCATTAACATTAGCATTA